ATACATGTGCAAAGGTATAAACAAATCACATAAATGTTTAGGGCCCGTCACGTCTGGAATCAGAGATGGAAATAAGAATATCCTGACCGATCCGGTTGACATATTAAATAAGTTTAAGAACCACTTTGACAATATTTTAAATACGGGAAATTATGATCTGTGTACTCCTTCTGAGTACCCAAGTGCTGAACCGTTAATAGAAGAACCAAGTAAAGAGGAAGTTGAAGTAGCTATTGGAAAATTAAAATATTATAAAGCAGCGGGAACCGATAATATTCCTACTGAACTAATTAAGACATGGGGGGAAGCTGGAGTTTCTAAAATATATTGGTTGGTTAAAAAGATTTGGGAGAGTGAGAAATTACCTGAAGAATGGAAAGAATCTATTCTTATTCAGATTTACAACAAGGGCCCGAGGACAAATTATAATAACTATCGAGGAATATCACTCCTTGCGGTATGTTATAAAATATTCACTTTAATCTTAACTAGTCTAATCACGGAGTTCGCTGAGGAAATTATCGGAGACTACTAATGCAGTTTTAGACAGAATCGTTCGACTATTGATCAAATATTTTCTTCACGGCAAATATTAGAGAAAAAATTAGAGTACAACGGTATTGTTCACCAGCTGTATATAGATTTCAAAAAGGCTTATGATTCTATTGACCGCCAGAACCTGTACAATATTCTAATCGAGCAGGGGATTCCAAAAAAGCTAGTCAATCTAGTCAGGATGTGCATGACGGAAACACTCAATAAAGTTAGAATCGGTAATAATCTGCCTGAAAAGTTTGAGGTCTGTTTGGGTTTAAAACAGGGGGATTCCCTTTCGCCTGTCCTGTTCAATTTGGCATTAGAACATGTCATTAGGAAGGTAATGCGTACCAAAAAAGGGTTGGATCTAGGTGGGACAATACTCGTGCTGGGCTATGCAGATGATTTGGTACTTTTAAGTGAATACGTGGAAACTACAAAACTAAATACGACAACGTTAATGAATGCCAGTAAAGAACTAGGGCTCGAAATAAACACCGATAAGACAAAATATATGGTTAGCTGCAAAAATGGTGATATCGATATAGATGGTAATATGTTTGAACAGGTAGCAAAGTCTAGGTATCTAGGGTCTACGATAACTAGAAAAACGAAATTGAAGAAGAGATTAAGGTTAGACTGAAGGCAGGAAATGCTTGCTATTTTTCTGTGACAAAACTACTTAGCTCGCGCCTCTTGTCCGGGAACTTAAAAATTAGAATCTATAAACCCATTGTCTTACCTACAGTTCCTGATGGTTGTGAAATGTGGCCGCTTACATTAAGGAATGAGCAACGTCTTAAAGTTTTTGAAAATAAAGTATTGCATAGAATATTCGGACCGAAGAAGGATGAATTAACCGGAGAGTTCAGACGGTTACACAACGTTAAATTGCGTGAACTGTATCCGAGTAATATAATTGAGGTGATTTCATCCCAGCGAATCAAATTGGGCTTGTAAAATTGTTAGGCTTAGTAACGAGAGAATTCCTAAAAGGTTAATATTTGCTGTACCTAATGGAAAACGTCCGAGGGGTAGAACGAAGCGAAGGTGGGAAGATTGCATTAAAGCCAATCTGAAGGGACTAGGTCTGGACGGCAAATGGTGGAGGGAGGTGTGTAATAAGCAATTGGTGGTGTCGGCATCTAACCTTCGGGTTAGCTGAGCCTTTTATTACTGTTTATTATACTTCCGGTTAGCCAATTTTAAGGAAAAGGTTGCTTTCACATTTAAGACATATACCTATCTTAAATACGTAATACCAGTTTCGTACAACTTTTCGTTTTTGAGCTAGACTGCTAATATACAAACACACAGACCATTTTTTGGGACTTGGTTATTTGGACTTAGGGTACCCCAAAACCTGTATTTCCATCGAAAACTCAGATTCAAAAATTTTCACGATCGCAATACTTACCCTTACTATATATTACATATATACGTAAGTGAAAGTAAAAAAGAGTTGGAGAGAGCGAAGATTCCTGAGGAACACCATGAGTTAGTAAGAGGGGAGAAGTTTTTTGGGGAATAATGATTATTTGGGATCTGTGATACAAGAAGGAATGGAACCACGTTAGGGCACTATTTGATATGGAAAGGTTTTGGAGTTTGGAAAGGAGGATTTCATGATTAATGGCATCGAAGGCTTTTGAAAAGTCAAAGAGGACCAGGATAGAGATTTTTTGTTTGTCTATGGAGAAATAAAAGTTTTGGGTGATTTTCAACAAAGCAGAATGGATGGAGAACTGGGATCGGAAACCAGACTGGGAGGGGGGGATCAAGGAGAGCTTTTTGCTTAAGGAAGGTATTAAGCTGTGAATGGAATAGTCTTTCGAGAGGTTTTGAAAGATTCGAGACAATGGGTATGGATCTGAAATCGGAAATTTGAAGGGAACTGGAACTTTACTCAACGGATGGACCATAAATTTTTTCCAAGCTGATGGGAAACTGAAAGTTTGTAGAAAAAAATATGTAAATATCCAATAGAACAGAAAAGATGAGAGGGAGACATAGCTTGACTAATTTCGCTGGGATTAGATCTGGACCACAGTCATTCGTTCTGGAATTGAGGACAGAGGAAAGCAAGTCTTTTGGTGAGATATTTGTAAAATAAAAATGTGTAGGGTCAAAGGAAGTTTTTGGAAAACAGCGTGAGGAGGAGGACATTATTGAGGTAGGTAGGATCGGCAAAGTAGGGATTCAGTTGATCAGGAGAAACAGAATAGGAGGTACAGCACTAGCGGATCCAGAATTTAATTTTGGGGGGGGGGCTTCAGCCCGGAAGCTTTTTTTTTCATAAAAATAATGATATTTACTTTGGAAAAACAGAAAGAAACTAACTACCTATATGAAATGGTGTTTAAGTGATTCCTTAAGACCTTTTAAATGTAATTACACCAACAATAATACTTTAAGAGGTATTTTTAAATTATTTTTTTCCATAAAACGTGGTTATGTTTTACCATTTTGGGGGGGCTTCAGCCCGAAAGCCCCCCCCCGTAGATCCGCCCGTGAGGTACAGGTTTTTAACTTGACTATGGAGAGATTTTTAAGGATCTTCCATCTGGATATAGGATCTGGTGGTTGTGATATGGGAGAATTGTGCCTTAGCCTGTAACAAGGAAGATTGGGTTAGGTTTCAAAGGATTTTCAAAAATATGTCATCATCTGGATCACGTGTGCATTTGAAGCCCCTTCTAGCTGCATCTCTTCTCTTCATCAACTTTTTGATTTCAGAATTAATCCAGGGAGCAGCAGGTCGTCTAAAGATAGATGTTGATTCAGGAATAGGAGAAGATTGGAGGAAAGACATTCCACTATTTCATCAATGGAAGAACAGAAGAAGATGGGATCTAAGGATTGGGCTAATGTTTTGAGAAAACACTTTAATTTTTCAGGGGTCAATGAGCCAAGGTCTTGCCAAGTGATTTGCTCAGGATTCGGGACATTATAGGAAATCTTGATGAGAACATGATGTGAAAGAAAAAAGTAGGATTCTGGGAGGAGGATAATAAGTTTTGAGAGAAATCGATAAGAAAAAGGTCGAGCCATGTACTTGAGAACCGGGTATGGTGAATGGGTTGAAAGGGAAAGATAAAAAGGCCAAGGGAGCAGATTAGGTCTACAAGTTATGATTTGTCAGAAGAATCAGAGCATAAATTGGTGTTAAAATCGCCAGTTATTATAACATTATTGTATAAGGGAATTTAGGTCTTTTTACCTGCATCTAAATGAGAAAAGTTGGGAGAGGAAGACATGTGAAGGATTTTTGTCCTCAAACTTTCATGAACGTAAAGACCAACTCTACCACCTGTCCAATCTGTTCGATCATGATGAATGAGGGTGTAGTTAGGGATGGATACAGAGGAGAAAGGAACATCTGGTTTGAGCCAAGTTTCTGAGACGGCAATAATATGGTAAAAATTATGGAGGAAATAATCAATGCTTGCATCAAAGTGGGTGGGAAGGGATTGGGAGTTACCGTGACATGTTAATAGGATACTAGTCATCGAAGGATAAAGAAGGAAGTACATCACTGAAAATTTGATAAGAAAAGGGACAATCGTAATAGTGTGAATTTAGATTTCCTAAGATAAAGAAAAGACGGTAGAGTAGAAAAAAAGAAGACAGATAACCATATGTTTCAACAAAATAAATAAAATTTGTAAGTGGGAGAAATAAGAGATTTTTCAAACGAGATGTAAAATTAAATGATAATAGAGAGAAAACCAGACTGAATGTAAAAATATGTACAGAGATAAATAAGAAAATAATGTAAAGAAACAAAACTTCGATTATTCAGTTTAAAAAAACAAAAACAAAATAATATTCCTTGTGGGGAAAATTAAATATTGAGAAAAATATATTAAAAACAGAAATAAAGAAAAAGAAATATTTCCTAATAAAATAGTCGATTAGAAATGTATAATGTATTATTTTATTCCAAGTAAAACTGGCCAATATTACAAATCTATAATAAGATTATAAGAAGATATATAATTTTATTTGCATTTTAAAAGAAGAACCAATAAAAGTAATTAGTGTTATATCACAATTTAAACAAAATTATAAATAAAGGTAACAAGAATTCCTCAAAGAATTTTACAATCATAAAATAAAGTTTAAAGTTTAGATACTTAACACATATTCGTCCGCATGACGAAAATTCGTCATTTGCATATTACTAAAAATAATTGATTCTCGTTCTTTTAATTTTAAATAAATTAACTTCTATTTACCAAACAGAGATAAAAAGATGACAGAATGCATTTTGTGAATGTTGATGCAAAAAATTAGCAGATGAATATGTTTTTAATACTATTAGAAATATTTATTTGTAATAAGAAAAATTATTAGATTTGATAGGAAAGTGTTTTAGGTATAATAAATAGATTATACAAGATTCTTTCTCTAATACTACATTATAATTATTATAAAGTAAAAAAAAAAAAATGTTGACATACATTTACTAGGATCTTCATCTGACTTATCAACAGTAGAATTGTCCTGAGATCCACAGTCAAATTCTCCATCACAGACCCATCCAACTTGGATGCATTTTTTAGTCAAGGCACACTGGAAGTAGCCAAATTTGCAATCACTTGGAGCTAAAACAGTTAAACAAATTACATTATATTTATATAAATTACTAGCCTATATGAGTATTAAAATATTCATACATCATCCATTTAACTTAGTCTGAGTCAATAACACATTTATTTATTTTATTTTTTTCTGTGACATCACAGACCATGTAGCTCTATTGCATCTTTGTTGATTCTATCTATCCATTTGCTTTTTGGCCTTCCACGTGGTCATTTGTCTTCTATTGAGACATTCGTTGTAACGTAGAGGCTTCCAGATGGATTGCTACGAGCTACATGTCCCGCCAATCTTAACCTCCATGCCTTCATATCATGGAATATTGATTGACCAGTTTCTGTAAGCAGTTCTTATTCGTATTTCTTCTCCATGTGTTAGTACTCTGATCCCAGATCGCTCCGGTTGTCATACGGAGGATATTTCTTTCAAATGTTTAACATTTTTTTCTAGGGTGATGGTTAGTGTCTAAGTCTCACAGCCACATATTAGAACTGGCTTTATTATAGCATTGTAAACCTTTTATTTGAGACTTCTTGAGACTTTTCAGGATTTCAATACCTTTGAAAGGAAGAAGAAAACTCTGTTTGCGTTAGCTATACGCTGGTCTATTTCTGCCCATTGGTCATTCATTGAGGTTATTGTGGAGCTGAAGAATTTGAATTTTTCAACTGCCAGGAATGATTTTCCTTCTACGCAGATCCTGTTATTGGGATGAAATTTTCGGCTTATTATCATATATTTTGTTTTATCTTCAATCACTTGTAGGCCAATCTGCTCTACCTCTCTTATCAGAGTCTTGGCGAGTTTTTCAATGTCCTCTTGACTACTTCCAAGGACAGCTATATCATCTGTGCATCCAAGAATTTTATTAGGCATAGGGAGTTGGTGCCCCCATCGCCCTGTCATTTCACCGCAATCAGCCACTGGCTATTCAGGTTGGGGAAACAACTATACTGACACCCACACAGTACACAACCACAGCATACAAACATAAAGGACATATACAGTACACACCCTAGAGCCACCTTTCCTAGGAAGTCTGCAAGGAGGCGCACTGTTCACCACCGCACACAACCTTGTTATAAAATATTCACTTTAATCTTAATCAGTCGGGAAATTATAGGAGACTACCAATGCGGATTTAGACTGAATCATTCGACTATTGATTAAATATTTTCTTTACGGCAAATATTAGAGAAAAAATTAGAGTACAACGGTATTGTACGCTAGAATGCAAAGACTCCAAAAGGCCTGGCAAACGAAGTTACCAGAGGGGAAAGCTCCAATACCACAGACAGGGGATGAGAAGGAGACATCCAAAAGGCCAGCATCTAAGTTTGCAAGGTCACACACGCCAGCTACTAAGAATGCGAGGCCTCAAAGGTGGAGGTCCAGATCAAGACCGACTTTGAAAAAACAAGCAAGAACATCCCTAGGAATCTCATCTACATCAGCTAAGAAACCGAGGGAGGCCGAAAGGTCCAAAAATTATGCTAAGGTTGCAAGAGGACAGTTGGTAGCGGTAGTTCCTGTGGACTACCCGCAGACCCAATTCACCTACGACGAATGCGAAGAACTCCAAGAAGCAATTGCAAGCAAGATTGACGAGCTCACTATAGGAGGAGATATACACCCGAAGTTCGATGGAGTGCTCTTCAAGCTCGGTGGATGTCTGGTATCTTGCTTAGATGACCATACGGTGGAATGGTTAATAAAAATAACACCTAGGATCACAATCAAGAAAGGTCTAACCCTACGAACTTGTGAGGCAGGTGACTTAACAAAAATCATTAGGATCGGAGCCTTCTTTCCAGGAAAGGCTCTACATGCTGATTACTACCTAAACTGGTTCCAGATTCAGAATCAGTCTGTAACTGGCATCAATACCTGGACCATATTCAATTTCAAGGCTCTGGAAAGAGGATCCTTTGGAGTATTCAACATACCGGAGACCAGCCTCCAGAGCCTCACTACACATGGGATTCAGGCTTGTTGCGGTATATATGTAATAACCTTCAGGCACTTGTCGTCGAGCAGTAAGCCCGCTCCTGAGGAAACACAGGAAGAAGCGCCAAAGGCGGGCACATCTAAAGAGAAAGAGACCAGGGAATCTTCCTCTTCTAGAGGGAGTGCATCGAGGACTGGGTTGAGGCCGTCGGCTGGGTCAGGAGGGGCGGCCAAGCCAAAGGAACCAGTGAAAGCTGGCTACAGAGGCGAATCCCGGCCACTGTCTCGGTCTGGTGGCAGACCTCGGTCTCGAGGCACTCCTCAAATACTACTGGTGGGGGTGGAAAGCGAGGTCGAGAGGTGGGGAGAAATCAAAAGACAAAGTGAAAACTGAGTCTGATGGAGGAACCCTACCATCGGCTTCGTCTGGAAAACCACCCTCCAGAAAATAAATCATACAAAAATAATTATGAAACTGCTGCAGATCAATATCCACCACTGCACTGCGGCATGTGGTGTATTTCAATAGTATATAAAAGGTAAGGATATTGATATTATTTTAATACTTGAACCTTACTTATATGAAGGCAGGATCAAGGGATTGAACATGCATGGGTACGGAATCATTTTCGCACCCGCATATCCTAGAGACTATAATTAAATATGATCTTGATATTCTGAACAAGAGGAATAAGCCTACCTTTTGTAATAGGACTAGAACGGAGATAATAGACATAACACTAGTGACTCAAACGATTAGTGTCCTTATAGATAACTGGCATGTCTCTGACGAAGAAACATGCTCGGGTTACAAGTATATTAGATTCGATATATCTGACAGAATACAACATGATGTGGAATATAGAGATCCCAAACGTACAGGCTGGGTGTCCTATAGTACCAACTTGGAGGCGGCTATTAAATGCTGCTCCAAAGTTATCCACAATACATGGCAACTGGAATGTCTAAACACTTCACTTACTGATGCTATGATTAGATCATATTGGCATTCATAGTAATGAAGCTTAAAAAAACACAACCAACAGGAAAGTGTCCTGGTGGAATGGTAGCCTAACAAAGTAACGAACACTCACAAGGAGATTGTTCAATGCTGCTAAAACATCTGGCAATTGGGATACCTATAAGAAAGCTCTTACTGAGTATCACAAATCTGTCAGGAGAGCCAAAAGACAAGCCTGGAAAAGGATTTGTCTGGAGGTTGATAACATTCCGGCGGTATGTAAAGTAAACAAAATACTGTCAAAACAAACCAATACAGGTACGATGGGAACACTCAAACATGAGGATAAATACACCACGAATGAAATTGAAACGTGTTGCAGCAAAAGCACATTTCCCAAGTTGTAATATGACAGTAACGGAACCTCTTGACCCCACTACACAGGATCACCACGATCCTGTACCAGTACCACTGGTGCATGTATGTGGGGTCTAGCAAGAAGAGTGATCACAAACAGCAGACTTGAATGGGCAGTGAATTCATTCTCTCCTTTTAAATCTGCTGGAACTGATGAGATCTTTCCAGCATTGCTGCAGAAGGGTCTCTCAGAGATAAGGCCATACCTTCTGGAATTACTAAGAGGTAGCCTAGCACTGGGATATCTACCATGTAAATGGAGGATATCCAAGGTGCGATACATTCCAAAACCAGGAAAAGAGTCTTATAAAGAACCCGAGACATTTAGGCCAATATGTCTGTCATCTTTCATAATGAAGACATTGGAAAAGATACTTGACAGACATATTAGGGAACATATATTGGCTACAAGTCCAATACACTCAAAGCAATATGCCTACCAACCAGGGAAATCCTGTGAGGTGGCGCTTCATAACTTGGTAACAAGAATAGATAAATCCTTAGAACAGAGAGAAATCAAGATGTCTTCGTTGATATCGAGGGTGCCTTCGATAGAACTTCTTATAACATCATAAATGATGCACTAAGGAAAAAAGACATAGACTCTATGTCCTCAAGATGGATTGGGAGGATGCTGGAGGACAGAGTCTTAAAATCAGAATTAGGGCACAAGGAACTGTGGATTAAACCCTGTGGTGGCTGTCCACAGGGAGGTGTGCTCTCCCCGCTACTGTGGTGCTTTGTGGCCGACTCATTGTTGGAAGCACTAAACACTGCAGGTATATAGAATAGAATAGAATAGAAGAATCCACTTTATTCTGGGACAAAGTCCCTTAAGAATAACAATTTTGTACGTAAAAATTAACATTCCATCTGGCCAAAATACATATTACAATAAAAAAAAAAACTAAAAACAAATAAGTGATAGCAGAAGTATTTACCTTATTACATTTACATTACAGAACGTGACTAGACATCTTTTCCATGCTCAAAAAAGAATATATATTTATATACAAATCATAAATAGAGAAAAATGCAATTTTGTTACATGATAAATGGCTGCCCAGCGTCTGATTGAATTGTAAGGAGGAATTGGAATAGGAGGGGTTTAAATATGGATAGGGATGGTGCATGGCGGATTTTAAGCGGGATGGAATTCCAAAAGGTAGTGGAGCGGACAATAAAGGAGTGTTGAAAGGAGGCAGATTTGTGGAAAGGGGTATAAAGGTCAGAAGGACGAGATCTTGTGGAGAGGGAGTGGATAGATGACTTGGATTGAAGGCGATTGAATGCGTAGGACGGACGATGATTATGGATTATTTGGTAAAGGAATGTACTAGGAAATATTGTCTTCTGAAGGAGGGGAAGAGCCACCCTAACTCGGCGTATTAGTGAGATACACGAAAACGTCTCGGGGTTCCATTGACAAATCTTACTAAACCATTATATGCACAAGGATACGCAGATGATACTGCTATCCTAATAGGAGGGAAGCATCATAGTGTCCTCTCTGATCTCCTCAACACAGTATCTAATATTCTTAGGAATTGGTGCAGGACTAATGGACTAAGCATCAACCCTAGGAAAATTAAGGTGTCATCTTCACCAGGAAGAAGGTGTTTATAAAAATGCCGGAAATTAATGGTATACAACTGACACATAGCAAGGAAGTAAAACACT